GCTGCCACTGGAGTTGTCCCCCACCAGAGCCTCACCTAAGGTGTCACTCCTGGCTGAGTGACCGTTGAAAACCTGGCTGCCACCTGCAATGGTCCAGGACCCAGATAGAAAAGGAAACAGCCCCTTGCTGGCCTCCGACGCTCAGGATTAATCAATCTGTTTTCTCCCCACAGTCTAACTTCTGCTAAAATGCTGGTCAAAACGTCAGTCCCGGACAGACAGTGCCGGTTCAAGCCTGAAATCAAAGCGTGAATCACCCCTCGGTAGCCCCCGGTTCTGAGGGCAGGTCTGTCTGGATGGCTGGAACTGGGCGATCCCAAGCCTGGTCCCCAGGAAATCGGGCAAAGCCATGTCTCGGGGGCGGCTTTTGGGGCCTGTGTTTGGTCTGTTCGGATTCCTAGCGCATTTAAAACCGTGGCCTGAGAGAGGTTTGTTCTGGTCGCTGTGACATCATTTTCCTCAAATAATAGTATTACACATGCTAACTTTACACTTTCGGTATGGTTACATGGCATAGCAAGTAATGACACCCAGGAGTCATTTTAATCATCGGCTTCTTCTACGCTCCAAACGTTGTTACACAAAGAGTCATTTATTTGCAACGTTTTCTGGATCTTGCAGAATGAATGGCAGAAACACTCCACAAAAAAAAAATAAAACAAACAAACAAACAAAAGGCTCTGATTCTATAACATATTTGACACAACAGGACACAAATCATTTGTTAAAAATTCTAGTATCAAACACACCCCCTTCCTCGTGTCCCCTTTCACACCCAGCTTAAACACTTCATACCCTTCTTCAACACCGTGAAAACAAACGCAGAAAGCAAAGGGCACACAGGCTGGCCGCACAGCCAGTTTACTTACACACTCCTGAAAAAGAAATTTAAGGCCAGCGCTGAGCTGTACCTGCTCCTTCAACTTCCACGTCTGAGTTACTCAGAAAACCGTGTAGGAACAAAGCCCACAAACCCCATCAGACACCTACCGCTATGGACCCAGACGATGTGGCAACAAACACTTTGATAACCATTTTGATAGTCGGAAAGAGGACTCCCCCTAGCACACCCCTGTGAGGGAACTCGGCGCTGGACAGATCCTGACAGTGACACAGACCAGCTTGCGCCAGGCAGGGCCGGCGGGGCCCCTGGCTCCTCTGAGCTCCTGCCCCTCCTGCTTCAGCTTAAGCTCTGCCTCTCCCCGGGGCAGCCCAGGCATCTTGGGCTGTCCCCACCATTGGCCCAGGAATATTTGGGGACCTGTCAGGAAAACATTTGATTGGTCGATAAAAGCAGTCCATGGACCTTTTCCCTTGTCGCTTTAAATGCCTGACAACAGTCCCTAAAAGGCGAGGATGCACTGCGCACCAATCAGAGCCCTGTGGAGAAATGCCCTGGGGTGGGAGGAGGGGACCCACGGGGGCGGGCGGTGGGCGGGGGGTGCGCAGAGGAGCTGGGAGACAGGGAGGAGGGAGGAGCTCCCGGGAGATGGAAAAACCCGGAATACACCAGCTCAGGCCCCGAAGAGGCTGTATTTACAGAGTTCCTGGCCAAGGGGAAGGGGCAGAATAGTCACAAAGGCCTTTAAATAAAAAGAGCCGCTTCCTTGAAAATTTTCTGGTCGATTTTTTTAAAAAGCAGTGAACAGTGTTACAATAGATTCTTTTATGAGTGGCCTATTCTCAGTTTCTCCCTTTACCACCTGCTTCTCTTAAAGAACAGAAACTGACAGGTGGCCAACGTGTAAAGTTTCACTGACATCCCAGACAAGACAGGGAGACAGTGGCTGGCTTGTCAGTACAATGATTTCAACAAGCAAACTGTCCTCACTATGTTA